CCACCTCGGATTGAGCAGTATGATACAGGTTTCTTCTATTAACAAATTTAAAAGGAAGAAAAAAAAGAACAATTTTAGTTTGAAAAGGGATAAGGTTTCGGTGGATGCATGAATGTCCCAGTCATGTACGAGCACCCTGATACTTTATGGGTTTCGGTGGCTCACCATCCATATGACCAACACTCCTAATCTCCAATTCAATGAAAATTATAAATGCCTCTCTTAATCGCAAATTCATTTCATTTCATCTGACTTGTAGTTAACTAGTACACCTTAACCAATTCTCAGTTTCTACAACTGAATTGTTGTAGGTGTACATGGTAGGCCCCGGATTGTGCCACGTGGCATTGGCAAAATGGAATCTTGACCGCCCATCTCTAATTGCCTCCAATTACTCCGTGGCAAGGTCAGTTACAAAATGGGGTGTTCATCTCAAGGTAAAGCCATATTATTCACTCTTGCTCTCTTGCATTCGGAATCTCAACAGACTTCTTCCGAGCTTTTAAGGAGTAAGCTTTGAGCCCTTATCTCAAACATGGTCCAACTCTTCTTTAGCACCTAACTAACTTGACCATTGGAGTATCCGCCCTTGGGCTAACTCCTGGGGCCTTTGGCGTGTTCTCTTCTCCTACTCACAGGTTGGATCCATCAGGCTCGGACATCAATGAATTTCCTTTGTTGCCCTCAACCCTATCTTGGGCAGCGATATGAATCGTCTCAGGAAACTTCCATTGAGGAAACATTTTCTAGCAAGAGAAGCGAGGAACTGGGGAGAAAAGAAAAGAGAAAAAACACGAAAAAAAAAAGAAGGGGCCAATTTCCTTCATGCTGGAAATCAATCATTGTTGTGGCTGATTTTGGTAATTTAATGCATGAATGTAGTTTAGATTAGGTTTAAGAGAAAATGACAAAAAAAAATAAAGAAAGAAAGAAAACTTAAAATGCCTATTGTGGTAATTTGAATCATTTTGTTATCTGATTTAACAGTTAGGGGGTCTTTGTCTAATGATCCAAGTTCAGGGGGTCTTTCCCACAAAAAAAAATGTATAGGGAAGTCTTTGTCACTAACCCATAATACAGAGGTCTAACTATATGGATATTTTGGATATTTTAGCGCCTATTAGAGGATTCTAACAAAGGAGAGTCTACTTCCCACTGTATCGTAGGCTTCGGCAGAAGTCATTGTAATTACCAGAGTTCAGGGAATATTTTAATGTTTTATCAATGTAACTTAGGCACTTCAGTGGAGGTTTCAGCAATTTACCCTTTAAAACTAGGGTTGCAACTTTAGCTGATTACAAAACATCGTAAACTGTTAACTCTGGCCAACCGGAATTACATCCTTATTTAAAACATATCAGAAGAGATATTCCCAATGAATGGCAGCAATGTGCTGTGGCCTGCGGGGTTGAGTGTGAGGTGTATTATGTGAAAGCAAATTCGAAATGAGGGGCAGCCGGAGCATTTTAAACCCGATAACAGCATTATCTTTAGCAGCCGCAGCAATTCTCAGTAATCCAGTATAACGCCGCGACAATATTTCAAAGTTTCTGGTGTAAGGTTGCTAAATTGGCGGAATTGATTTGCAGTCAAAAAGAATCAACCCACTGTGAATTTAACTGGCAGGGCGAATGCTGATCCGGGATGAACCAATCACAGAAAACAGAGTTTGATTGTCTCCAAGAATTTCTCTGGTGGTGGAAATGGCATTGGGTTGGCATGAACAAGGATAATGTCTTGCCTCGACAAAGGCAACTCTGTTGAGGTGGCAACATCTTCTAACAGACGCGAGGTCGATGGCGGTAGCATCAGGAAAAATCTATGTTGCATTGATAAGTAGAAATTGTTGCTGTTTGGATCTTTAACGAGGAGATAACCGAAAATACTGTAGATCCCAGAACCGTAATCACAAAAAAAAGAAAAAGAAAAAGAAAAAAATAAAGAAAAAGAGGGTGTCAAAGGCCACAGAGTTTCTTTTGTTTTCTGTAATGTTTTAAAAATCGATCTAGAACGGAATCATTCTGGCATCGGTTTCTATGTTGACAGTTTGACTGTTTGGTTCAAATGTATGGTCCGTTCTCACAAAAAATTAAAAATATAATTAAAATAAAATGGTCAAAACCTGTTAAATGGATTGACGGTTCAACCACTTGAGTCAACAGGTCATTGACGGATTCAAGGGTTTTTTGCCAAGGAATGGATTTGAAGTAAAACAAAACTGGTTTCTTAAGCAGTTCCCAGGCTGAATGGTCCGATCATCCTGATCAACAGCAGTTCAAAAACCATGGTTTTCTGACAGTGCCTTCCAAGTAGAGGCACTTGGAAATCTCTGCAACAAGGGGATGATTAAAAAACCTAATGTTCCAATGACCCATAATCATAGAAAGATGTTCAGAAACCCTAAGGCTCAGTTTGAAAAGAGTATAAATGCAAATATATAAAAAAATCATGCAAAATATAACATTTTATACTCTACATATTTGTATTTATACTCTTTTCAAAAGGAGCCTAAAGTTCTTCTCTTGTGTGGAACCGTAGAGCCTCTGATGCATAAGTCAAACAAGGACATAAAAAAGAAGAAAGGCCCGGTGTAGAGTATGAGCCTGCATGTATTCATGAAGATGGGATCTGCTCCTCACATTTGGGTGCCTCACATGCATATCCCTCATGTATTGAGAATATCTCTCATAAATAACAACTTAAAAATATGGGAGATGTTCTCAATACATGATAGGATGTACATGTGAAACGCCCTCTATGAGGAGCAGATCCGGTCTCGTATTCATGTGTTGTGTCGTGCATCAGGCGACTTTATATAGAAGAAGAGCCATGGCAATGGTAAAGGAGTAATGGTCTTCTTGGTCGGCCCAAGTCTCCTTATCACCCAAGTCGAGATCTGCTGATCACAATATATTGCTGCTCACATTCAGCTAGTGGAAGTCAGGAATCAGTGATATAAAAGCGGCTGGCTGGATGAATGCGGCTTAATAAGTGATCCGAACTCATCCCAGACGGTCTATTTAGTTGATCGCCTGTTTCTGCCTAATATGCACGTAAATATCTGTCTCCACGTTACTCACCAGCTACGTTGGTAAGATTCCCACATTGCCACCAGTTCATGCCACACAGCATCTTCCAACCGGCCGTTAATGTCTCAGCTCGTAGGCTCGTAGCTTAGCTGCATATGTAGAATTCTGGTCTCAAATCAGCCTCGTACAAAATTGCTCCCACAACGTTTTAAAGCACATACAAATCATGTATTGAAAATATTTCTCGATGACTATATCAGAAATGATGATATCATTATTGGAAAATGTTCACTATACGGCAAGAATATGCTGTAAAACGTTGTAAGGGGCTGATTTGAACTACTCAAAAGTCTCAAATCATGTCAAATTACACAAAAAAAAAAAACGAGTTTGGAGTTTGGACTCTGCCTGCTTTTATTTTATGCCAACTCCTGGTCATTGGTTAGTGGTTACCCATACAAAACATCCGGAGTCGTCGAACACAGACTTCGCTGTCCTGCCATACTCGTACTCCAGATATCCAAAACGTGGCAATTTAATTGGCCAGCCCAGAGCTTCTCTAGTGTCATTTTATACAAATTGCACGGTTTTTACTTTTTTTTTTTTTTGTTCTTTGTAAACTCAATGGGTCCAGTCTCCAGAACGAGTGCGGAGATTGAGGGCTACTAACTTCGCACAGCCCAAAGCCAAAAGTGAGGAAGGACATTTGATTTCAGATAAGGTTTAACTACCTAATAGACTTTGCCGTAAAGATTTACTTCGTTGTGAAGGATAAGGAAAAGATAAGAAAGGAAGGGAAATTTGTACGAACTTCATATAGGTTATTGGGTGAATTTCTTAACTTATTCTTATGGTTTAGTTAATTGACTAATTATATCTTTACTGTCTGAAAATTGATTAATATTATTCTTTATTGTTTTTGACAATTGACTAACTCTATTATTTCCATTAATCTCTCAAAATACTGTAAAATGCCTAAACTACCCTTTTATGGTCCAAAATATTCGATTTTGCAATGGCGTCCAGAGCCTTACAGCTTGAAAAATGCAGAGCTCAAAGATAACCCTACAACAAGACCATGAAAACATGGCAGAATCTCTCAAGTCTTTTTCCGATCTCGGGCCCCTAATAATCAAACATAGGTGGTCCTTTGCCAACTGGTCAACAACGAAATCAAGAGTTGTCGTTGCAACTTGGATGGTCAGTTTCAATTGGAAAGGGGAGATGGAACATAGGAGAATAGAGAGAGGAGGAAAGAAGAGGGGAGAATGGTCGGGTGATCTCGCCATAGGGTGGAGCTACAGAGCAATGCCGCCGCCGTTGTCAAGAGAGAGAGAGAAAGACAGATTAGAGTTCAGAGGGGGTTGTTGCCGCTGTGGCCCAAAGGAAGAAGAAAGAGAAAAAGAGAGACCAGAGTTCAGAGGGGTTGCCGCCACTGTTGCCTAGAGGGAGAGAAAGAGAGAGATCGGAGTTCAGAGGGGGTTGCTGCCGTCGTCACCTAGAGGAAGAAGAGAGAGGAGAGATTGGAGTTCAAAGAGAGTTGCTACTGCCGTCACCCAGAAGAAGAAGAGAGAGAAAAAGAAAGATCGAAGTTCAAAGGGGATTGCCACTCCCATCGCCCCTGCTCAGTTCGCTCAGTTGTCGTTGTCACTACCGATGCCCTTATTGGTACACTCGGCTTTTTAACAGAGTACCCCCACTGTTGAAGAAGAAAGAGGACGAAGACGAAAAGTTCACTATGAAGATAGCGTTTGTGAATTTTCAAAAACAAATACTAATGATACATTTAATAAATTAACTAAACCATAAGGATAATTTAAAAATTTACCCTATATTCCTTGCTTTCTCCACCTTTTTCATTCATTCCAAACACCACATCCTAAACGATCGGATGGCAGGATAATCCGCCCTTTGTGGGGAGCAACTGTGATCTCTTAATTTTGATTCCAATCCAACGCCAACTCAGTTAAATTATTACTTTTTGAACCACCTGAACTTAATCACAAATTATTACCAAAAATAAAAACATATAAACTGTAATCACAAATGATCACAGGCAAAACAATGAAGAAAACCAGTAATATCAAATGGATGAAAAAGAACAGAAGAAAAGAGGTAAAAGTTAACGAAAAAGATAACATCGTTACAAAATTAATTAACCTTAGCGCTACATAATTTACAGAACCTGCCATCACCTCCTCTTTCGTTTCGTCGCCTGCCTAGATGTCATCGCCTCCGTTTCTACCGTTTCTCTCACCCGCTTTGATGGTACGGGAGGGGGTAGAGATGTCTGTCTCATTGCTTTTTTAGGCGGACGCCCGACACTTCTTTTCGCCGGATTCCTCTGTTCTCTAGCATGTTTGCCGCCAGACCTTTGTTGGGGAGACTGATCTTTCCGTCCATCACTCTTTCCGCTATTTTTCTTTTGTTCAACTCCTCCTGCAACTCCTTTGTTATTGTTCGAACCATTTACAGAACTCTTCAACGTCTCTAACAGTGTTCCGTTAGACGAAGAGTTCCGTTTCATCCTGTTCAAAAAATTCGCCGCACTACGCTTCTTGGCAACAGCGGTTGTGTTATTGTTTTTTTTCTCCACCTTGGGTTCTGGACTGTCTTCAGGAGCAACACCACCTTTGCCCGACGGAGGGCTCGAGCTACGTTCTGGGCTTTGGCTAGAATTCGCATTTAAAATTTTGCTGGTAGTAGTGGTTGCCCGGCTCTTATTGCCTGCTCTTAAGCTTCTAGTACCGGACGTTGTCAATCTATCTCTCATCCGCTTTTTTTCGTCGGCCACATTATCGGCTTGCTTCGCATCGATAAGGGGCTTCTCATCAATCACTGCCGTTGCCGTTGCTCCTATTGTTGACGGCTTTAGATCACCTTTCCTATCGATAGCTGCCGTGGACGCCTTAGCTGATATGGAGCTGCGTTTTCGGCAAGCAATGATGGGACCAATTGATTTAGGTTTTGCAAACAACGAATCCGTCGGTTCTGAACTCAATTTAGTTGGAAGAGGAACGGGTGGTAGCTGGGGTGGTTCATCAGCTGATGTATCTGGTTTTTTAGTATTTCTGTTCGCCATCTCTTTAGTGACAAGCTCTCTTAATGCAATGGCAGCGACAGATTCTGGGGAATACTTGGCGAAGAAGACGATGGCATTATTGAAGAGAAGCAACAAATCGCGGAAGAACTTGCTGCTGCAACTGTTATACCGCCCTTCGTCCAGCCGCGATTGCACTAGTTCGAGGTCTACGTGTTGCCGCACTAAACTCGTATACTTAGTCGTATCCTGCAAAGTCATAAAGCAGTTTATCAGTAATCACAAAGTGGTTTTCGAGCGGCATTCCGGGGGAACGGGATCAGCTCCTCACACTTGGGCGCCTCACGTGCACATCTACCGTGCATTGGAAACATCTCCCGAGAATAATAACTTATAAGTGCGGGAGATATTCTTAATGCATGATAGGATGTCTATGTGAGGCGCCAATATGTAAGTAGCAGATGCGGTCTCCATTCAGGAGTACCTACTACAAATAAAATCAAACTTGCAAATGTCTTCGATCGAGAGGAAAGAAAAGGCGCATCATATTGATGCAAAGTTTTACACGTAAGCAAGGATGTCATGGGACTCACTGTTTCTCTCCTTCTCGTTTTTATTCAACACAAGTAATCAAGAACGGGCGCTACGCCGCTACGTTACATTTTGTCCTGTTGTGGTTTAAGAGCTCCGTGACACTACTGAGACTTTCATAGACGCAAAAGACGGTCTGACAAATTACAAGTTGCTGGAAAGAGAAATGGGTCCCACCAATTTATGAATGGTTCCGCACCCAAAAACTCAATGGCCCGTTTTATCGGCCATACGGCGTTCTTGGAACTGGCAAGAAGAAATGCGACACGTCGCATACGAGGCGTTAGATTGTGATGTAGAGATCCTTCTCCGGTTGCTGTTCCACAGTATCATAGGATCTCTCTAAAGAGGGAGGTCTATCATGTATGATCTATGAGTGAACAAACGAGTATCTATCATTTTAACTTTTAAGCATGTAAAGAACGCTGGCCGTGACTGGGCTTCATATTACCATAGAGAACGGTACACTGTAACCACCGCGATCTCACGGTGGTCCTACGGGCAAGGTAAACTGAAGAGAGCGGGACCCGCCATTAGATAAGATCTGTCATGTGACAAACCGACACCCCGAGGGACCAGCAGACCGCGGCCAACCGTTGAGCAGCTGTTCTCCTAGACTACACAACTGTACAAAAGAATGTCATTGATCAGAGATCAGACGTCCATTAACCATATATACAATCCAATGCAATCAGGATTGCGGGAACCACACCTAACATCAGGACCCACACGCGCCACGTTTGAGACAGAGATGGGATAAACATACACCTTACACGTTAGAGACTACTCCAACCTCATCGTGGAATAGAGAGAACGTGAAACGGAAACCATACATGCAATAATATGAACAGAGATATGCATATATTCCTAAAATCAAAAAACAAATCAAAAGTTATGAAAGATATCATGGCGTTCCTTTACTTTCCACCGTTGATTGTATATTCCGAGGGCCATCCAACGGCATACTTAAAGAGGGAATTGTTTGGAAAACCTCGGGGAAAGTCCGTGGCCAACCTCGTGATAATTGATAGAATTGTAAGAAATACCTTGACCAGCAAAAATCTCAAGAGAAGATCCAACGGCTTATACAGATTACGATCACCATTGTGAGTGGAGGGCGAGAAAGGGAGAGCAGATCCAACGGCTTATACAGAGAGCGATTACCACTGTGAGTGGAGGGCGAGAAAGGGACGCTGGAATAGCGACGGGCGACGAAGACACGACGGAAAATTTGTTGGGTACCTCCATGGAGCGTTCCCAACCGTCTATCAATCAATCATCAAATTTGTGATGGTAGGTGGAAGTGTTATAACACATTTGATCGAAGATCTAGAGGACCCCACTAGAGCAACGTTGCTTGATGGATGTGAGGATACGACTATGAAATTGCTACCTATTGGAACCTTTTCCACCTTAAGATCAAGATTTATGTATTTCGACAAATTCAAACAAAACAAAATAATAAAAGAACAAAAATATTTTGTAATTTGTTGTGCAAATACCTGGCTGTCGAGCCGGCGCTCGAATACGGAGCCATATTTGTGCGACCGGATAATCTCGAGGAAAGACATCAACGGTTCAGATTTAACAGAAATCCGTTTGATGGCGGGAGAAACCTCTTCGGTCTCCGGCTCGTCCCCACTACTACTGCCTGAAATCGCCTTCCGGCGATTCTTCTTCGACAAACTCGCCGAACTCTGCACGTCACTGTTCTCTTTCGTCTCCTCATCCCCGCCACCTTTTGACTCGGCCATCGATTCCCATAACTCGGGCGAGTCACCCGCTTCCCTGGCCTTAACTGATCCCAACGACTTCCCCACTGGCGGGGCAGCAGATTCTTTCGGCACTGTATCCGAACTACCGTTGCAAGACCCCTCACCGGTAGGCTTTAAGTCACCAGAAACTGGATCCGGTCTTCCGGTAATGGTTTCCACCGGTTCCCGTTTCTTCTCCGACTCTTCAACGCCGTTATCGCGAGTGCCACCCTTCGGATCCGTCGAATTGGATTCGTTGAACGACTGGTTTTCACGGTCGGATTCTTCGCCGGTAACAGGTTCGCCGTCGACGTTTTCCGGCGAGGATTTTTCCGGCTCATCATCTCTCTCCTTTTGTTCCTCTTTAGCTCTGAATTTCTCCGAGTCCTTTTCCAGATCTGGTTTCTCTACACTATTCTCTTTCTCTCTCAAGCTCCATTCGCGCTCTTCTTTCAATCTTTTCACTTTCAATTGCAGAGACCTGTAAAATGAAACGGCAAAGAAAAATCTCAGATCATAATGAAAACTAAAGATCCCTTCCCTCGACGCACAACCAAAATGAGAAAATAGGAAACAACCGATATTTTTAATTCAGATCTTTGAAAATCTAACGTATACAAAAATGGCACCAAAAGATGATGAGAAGAAATTTACACGATCGAAACATCGTATCGTTCAACCTCACGTCTAAGCTCAGCGACTCTAAGTTTTCTCAACTCTTCGAGCCACGGCATGACATCTTTCTTATCGTTCGTTTCAGATTCGTCTTCTTTTTCGTTGGTTTTGTCGTCTTTCGACGTGAATCGACGTTTAAGGTCGTGATATTTCTGTTTACAGTTCTGAGCGGTTAGTAGATGAAGGGTAGAGCTTCGGTTTTGTATTTCTATGGCGACGGAGTCCCATCTATTGGTCCCGTGCCGGTTAACGGCGCATGCTAGCAATAGCTCCTCCCAAGTACCCCATGTTTCCGTCTCTGTAACCCCGTTATTCGCCATGGTTTCTCATCTCTTCTTTCAACCACTCTGCAAATTTGCCATCTTTTTCTCCCTTTTTTTTCAAAACTAGGGTTTTTCTTTTTTGTTTTCGTCTTCTTTCTTCCCTTTTATTTCTCTTGGATTTTGGCTGTGTTTCCCTTTTCTTTTTTCACACAGCAGAAGCACATATACACATACGCATTCTCTCCTCTCTCTCTCTCTGAGATGGGCTTCAGGGCTTGTAATATAAGGGTTGGATGGATCTCGACTCTGCAGCACCTACTCATTCTTGGATTTCTCCAACTAGTGCGCTATTACTCAATTACCCCTGGACGAATCTGTGAAACTACAGCTTCTACCTGAAATTTTAAATATTCCATCAAGCGCCTGCGGGTAGTTTGACGAAATTACCCTAAATAGATTTTGCCGTTCTACCTTTTTTATTAGGTGCGCTTCAGTTGGGACTTGGGAACGCGGAAACCTAATCTTCGTCCATGAGTTGCCGAAACGACTCGTTCTGAGTCATGCATAATTCAAAGGCGCAGTTCTCGTGAATTTCCCCTTTTTTGTTAATTTTGATAGGGCGGAGGGAGAGGGACCTCAATTTCTCATTCGTTGGTTCTTAAAAAGAGACGATCCGTATTCTCTCAGTGGAACATCATAACACGTGTCTCACATCAGATGATCAACACCCATTTTGTGGGTCCGCAGCAACCGTGTAGGAGAACATATTAAATTAAGCGTTTTTGTTGCGGATTGCGCCAGCACGGCAGCACTTACGGAAAAGATGATATCGTGTGTCTGCATCAGCATCGGATAATGTAACGCCCATGATCAACTCTGATCGCTCATAATCCTTTACACTAATAACATGCATAGCGATACTACTTATAATCATAAGAAGCCCGAAGCTTGTGTCAATATGTTTATACTTGTTTTTTTATATAAATTGTTATGTTTTTTTTAATAATTTTTTAAAATTTTCAGAAATTAAATCGAATACCAATTCAAATTAAATGATTAGATCGGATCTATAATATAAAGATTCAAATATATCTTAATTCAAATCCGATTAAATCATTTACATCCTAAAAGCTTAAATATGTAAAAGGCCCAAATTTGGATCGGATTATGTCAAATCCCAGACCCTATATACGGATCTAAATTGGATTCGGATTTACTCAAGGAATCGGGCGTGGAATCAAAATTGGTCTAGAGACTGAGACCACATATGAGAATGAGAAATACAGCTAATCCGAGCCCTATAACTTGTCACTTGTTTTACATACAGAAGATCTAGACCCACCCACTTTTGAAACAGTCCCATCACGAAGATTTATGGGCAGTGGGTGCGGGTCCGAAAAGATATGAGGGCCCAAAATTGCAAGTAGGGCTCCAACTCTGCAACATGTCCAGACAAAGAATGGTCCTTCCCTTTTGATGAATTGTTGGGAAATGGACCATGATATCTTCCATGAAGCAAACCAGATTGCTGCGCACAAGTTCGCACTACACCTCGTGTTCTTTGACCATTGAGTACAAGATATTTTTCCTTTATTTTCTTCTATTTTTATTTGGGCCTACGTGATGGATATAGCCCGCAAACCCATAATCCTACAGAGGCGGGTGAATGTGGAATTTGATCTCAAATCTCTGCAAAAGACGAGCAACCTAACAGTGACCAGACTTTATACCCGTTTGAGAGGACATTCATGCAAGTTGGACCCCCCATATAAAAAGCCTAGAAACTAGGAGTGCAAATGGGATATCTGATTTGAAGAATTTACAATACACTGGGTGGGGGGAGTTGATTCAAATTTTAACAATTTCTCATCCCTATTCCGCCCAAATTGCACTCCTATTAGAAATTAAGTTTTGTTTGGTGAAATGTCGTTTAACTTAGCTGATAAGTTGACCTTTGAATTAAGCTAATTTTAGTAGTTTTTTCAATGCAACTCAATGAACATAGCTCAATCAAAGCTGAATTGCTTTCAAACGGACTCCTTACCAACTGAGTTAGCACCATGTTGAATAAATGATGTTTTGGGGTCATTCAAATTCAAATGTTCACTTCTCACTTATCCAAACCAGCTTTGTTCCATGTCCCAGAATATTTGGTTTTGCAAAATTGGACATATAATCCGTCCACATTGCAGAAATAAGACATTCCATGTAAAGCGTAACCCACCAATAAATAAAGCAAAAAATTGAAAAAAATAATGGAAAAGTACGAACAGGCTTAATGCAGATTTTTTATTCTCATTGCAAAGTTATAAACATTTAGAAGGTTCAAAAACCAATTTATGCACCCATACCCGTCCGTGAATTAACATCAATTCTAAATTGACACCTACCCCAAATGTATTTTGAACTTACAAATCCTGACCCTGGGGTTATTGGTCATTAAAAAGGAAATTCTTTTGTATTTACCACAAAGATAGGCACTAACAAGTGGAATTATCAACGACAAAAGGCAATAAAAGAATCTTTTCATCCATCTACTCTAAACTATCAAATTTGGATTATGACATTAATTTGGTTCTAGACAATGTCCATTGTGTTATTAGAGAGGGTCAAAAGAGGTTCATAGATATGTAAAAGGAAGTAGAGGAATTTAGGCCCCGTTTGGTTTGTGGAAATGGGGTCTGAGGTCTGAATCGGAATAGGCTAACTTTTGTGGGGCCTACATTCCTGAAAAACCGGAAAAGTGTTTAATTGTCTATGAAAAACAAGCCCTAAGCAAACTTAAGAGTAATTAAATATCTGGCTTTATTATAATTGATGAGATGATCTTGCGTAAAATATAGCCCATATGTTTATGTTTTAAACGTGGGATATGTTTGGCACATATTTGAACCTTGTGAAATCTCAGCCATGTCATCTCTTGGCCATCATTGTGTTGGACGTTTTCCAGGGTGGGGAAGTAAAAAGTCTCTCACCACTAGCCTCACTCCTCTTCTCTTTTCTACATGTCAAAATTAGAAATATAAATTTTCGTATGTTGAAAAGAAAAACATTAAATTTAAGCATTTTAGGTCATGTTTGATTTATTGTTTTCGGCCTCATTCTCTTAATTTTTACTCATTTTAAGTATGAATGGGCAGGAATGAATAACATTAGAGTGTTTGGTTACAAAATTCTTGCCAAAGACCACATTCTTTTTAGAATGAAAAATCAGCACATAGCACAAAAATTGACTAGCCTATAGCATGAAAAATAATCATGTCCTATCTTGCTAGTTTCATTCTATAAGGAAACTCTACCTATAAAATTGTTGTCATATATGTTTACTTTTGCAAAAGCACTTTTATGGAAGAATTTTTACGAAAGCACTTTTACAAAAACTTTCATAAAAGCATTTTTATGAAAGTACTTTTATTAAAACACTTTTATGAAAGTACTTTTATAAAAGCACTTTTACATAAGTACTTTTATAAAAGCATTTTACGAATGTACTTTTATAAAAGCACTTTTGCGAAAGTACTTTTATAAAGCATCTATGCCAATTGGTAAATATATATCAACTGTTTGGTTGGGTAGAATCGGAATCTCAATGGTATTCGCTCAATAGAGGAAATGATTATTTCCTACCCTCCCTTGGGAATGAAATCTCATTCCTACTGACTCCCATTTACATTCCCATTCATGTCTGAACCAAACAAACTATAGGAATGGACTATTATGAGACTGTGAACCAAATGTACCCTTAATGAGGGGAGGGGATGTAACAAACATTGAATATGAGAGAGAGAGAGAGTGAGAGATTTGAGAATAATTTTCTTAAGAAATGGTAGATTTTAATATAGAAAATTAAGGGTCTGTTTGTTTTACAATCGGAATCGGAATCGGAATCGGAATCGGAATCAGAATCAGAATCAGAATGGTTTATTCCCATATTCTGTTTGGTTCATACAAAAATGGAAATGGAAATTGGATTCAACGGGAATGAGATTTTATTCCCAAGGGAGGGGCAGGGAAAGGCTATTCCCTCAAATGGGGGAATTCCGTTCCACCAAGAATAGAAATGGAGTTCCAATTTTGTCTAATCAAACAGTTGGAATCAGAATAACTCATTGCGGTTCCAATTCTAGGCCCTTATTCATGCAAACCAAACAAGGCCTAGGAGTTCTTTTTTTTTTAAGATACATATTTGTACCTTGAGACTTTATGCTAAGAGATTAAGGCCATGTTTGGTACAATTCTCATTCTTTCTCGTTCTTACCCAATATGAAATTCTAAAATGGAAAAAAATGGGTAAAAATAGGAAAAATGAGAAAATATTGCTATGAACCAAACATTTTTTTCCTAAATTCTTTTGAGACTAACAAATGTCCTATGTTGCTCATTTTCATTCTTAAAAAAAATATTGTGCCGGTATTCACAAAATCGCCTTTTCTTTTATTTTATTTATTTTTATTCTATTTTCACGTGGCATATTTTCACTTGTTGTAAATTTCAAGTTTTGTTATAGCTCCACAAAATACCAACTAGATTTCCTGCCCACTACTCTGCACACCCTCTACTTCATCGTGAATTTCAGCCACACATCGCCATCTTTAATTGGTGATGTTTCCACAAAATATTGAAAAAGGTCATCACGCAATGCAAGACCCCATAAGGAGAAAATGTGATTTTCTGTTTCTAAAGGCCTTTTTTTTTAATGATTTTCAAAACCAGGAGTATTATTTAACGGCATCTGAAACTGAGAATGAGCTGTTTGAATCATGGTTTTTAAAAATGAACCGGTGACCAAACCGGTCAGGGGTCCAGTTACCGGTTTGAACCGTCCGACCGTTTGACCTAAACAGCCGGCCCATTCTGACAAAAAAAATTAAAAAATTAAAAAATTAAAAAATTAAAAAATTGGAAAACGGTCAAAACCGTTTGAACGGTTAACCAATCGGTTCAGTGGTTTGCTGACCAAAATCAACGGTTTTGGAAGAAAAAGCAATTTTGGGGAAAAATGGAACCAATTAGGTGACCGGTTCCCGGTTTTTTGGGTTTGACGGTCCGGTCCGGTTTAGTTTTGAAAACCATGGTTTGAATTTTTGAACCTTGCAACAAAAGCAAGAATCGGAATTGATTCTCACATAGAGCACCTCACTCTTACCTCATAGCACATATCCATCATGTATTGGGAACATCTCTTCATGAAAATAATAGACAAGTACCCATGTGCAGCCGGAATGTCTTGTGAGGTTGGTATGAGAAGCAATTTGTGAGGAGCAGATCTGGACTCCAAAAGCAAAATTTC